GGCTGCGTGAAAGGAAAGGGGTCCATGATCAAAGGGCTACTATGTTTTTTGGAGAGAAATTGCCTAAAAAGCTGCCTACTAATGCCAGGGGCACATCAGGTCTTGCCATGTGTGCCACCTTTCATCCAAAGATTGAGGAGCTCCAAGAAGACAGGTTGCCCTGACTCCTAATTTTAAGAGAACCTTAGGAAAGCTGCAAGGAGAATGGCCGATCTGGGCCAGACCAAGGTTCTTTTAGCCCTGCTCCCTGTCTTCTACATGGAACAGAACGGATGGAACAGATGCTTAGGGAAGAATGTAAGAACAGAACAAATATAGAATCAAAATATATATTTACACCTATGTGTCTATCATCCAGTGGTTATGTAGCGGTGCTGTATACCCTCTCCAGCAGCTTGTGGTTCAGCGACATGAAACACCCAGCAGGCAGATAAGCAGCTGGTGTTTAACCATGCCACTTTCCTCAAAGAGTCAACACCGGCCAATCCGTTTCCCTTCCTTCCCTTGTCCTACCGCCTCTCTTTAAACACCGGATGGGAAATAAACAAAGCAGAGGTGCCTGGTCAGGGTGCTGGGGTGGGAAGCCACAGGTCTCTCAGCTTATCTGTTCAGAGGCAGGGAGACTTTCTGAAGATCCAGGGTGTAATTGAGATGGAGGATGCTGTACTGGGTCAGGCTAAGATGGAGTTAATTGTCCTCATAGCAGCCCTCACAGTGCTGTGCTTTCTATCGGTACGTAGAAAGGTGCTGATAACCCACGGGTGTTTTGGCTACTGCTGAGCAGTGCTTGCACAGCATCAAGGCTTCATCTCCAACGTTCCCCCACCACCACCAGAGGGAGGGGGCAAGATCTTGGGAGGGGACATAGCCAAGACACCTGACCCCAACTGGCCAAAGAGGTGTTCCATACCATATGATGTTGGCTCAGCTATAAATGCTAGGGGAAAAGAGGAGGAAGGGGAAGGATTTGGTTTTTACAATTTGTTGTCTTCCAGAGCAATGGCTATGCATACTGAAGCCCTGCTTCCCGGGAAGTGGCTGGACGTTGCCTGCTAATGGGAAGTAGAGAATAAAATCTTGTTTTCCTTTTGCTACCACGCACGGTCTTTGCTTTTGCTTTTTATTAAACTGCCTTTGTCTTTACTGTCTCTATCTTGATTTTTTTTTTTTTTTTTCCCCACTCCTTTTCTCCCCCCCCTTCCTTCTGGAGGAGGGGGTTCC